AAAAAAAAAAAAAAAAAAAGAAGAAAGAAAAAGATGGGCTAAGAATGGAGTTCAAAAATGGGGGAAATTACTACTTACTAGTCATTTTCAGTTAACCGAGAAAAGATTTTTATTAGATTTTAGAGGCAAAGCCCTAAAGGAACAACGGTATTCCTTAGAATCATGGTTAAAAAGATGCTGGAAGCAAAACCCAAATAAAATCAGAATATTAAATACTTTAAAGCAAAAGTGTCATGTAGCTGCATAAAGTTTTTCCACGGTTAAATATTTGAGGTGCCATTACACACCAGGACATGCACACGAGCAGAGGACAGTGCTAAGATGAGCAGTCATGGTGTTTATTTTACTCTCAGCATATGTTTTGGAAGGAAATGTGGAAGGAAGGAACATTTCAGTACATGTAACGGTAGGTACCAGGTGGGTTATGCATGCATTGAAGAACTCATCCCAACGAACGCACGCACACTGTGAGCTGCACAGAGTTCCCATTTTATTTAGCCAGATGCACCGAATCGCAAAGGAGGCCACACAAAGCTACTTGGAGCAGGAGCAGAAGAGCCCCCGACTCGGTGTGGAGCTGCCGGTGATGACGTCCTTTTGGGTCTTGCCACAAAAAGCTCACTTCTTACTAGGACACTTCCCATCTGTACTCAGGGTGTATTCACATTCAGGAAAAACTCACACAATGCTCACTGCAGACAGCATGAAGAAGATGGCAAGACCCAGCAGCTCCTCCCAGGCTGGGAGCCAGTTAGTGCTGGTTAAGCTACATCCTCATAGGAGGAGAAAGTGGAGTGAGTGCCCAGGTTGTCTATGAGTGACGGTGAATCTTCTAACCCTACAGTTATCACCATTTTAATTATGCTGAAACTGGAGCTTGAGGGGGTACAGTTAGTTACCTAAGATTCCTTTCATTGTCACTAAGGTGACCTGGAGAAAAGTCACCTAATTCAGTTTGAGGAAAACAGTGTTGAAAGAGGTAGATATTAGTTAAAAACTCAAATTGGTACATGAATAAATCATGCAAGAGACAAAGGCCAAACACCAATGAGAAGTGTTATCTACATAAGTTTCTGTACGAACTCTCTCTCCCTCTCTCTCTCTGTAAATTTTCTCCACATTGGAGGATATAAGGGTATGTTTGGGATGGAGTTGTGTCATTTAATATTATGTTTAGGGGGTTTTGAAGGATAGACTGTTACAGAGATTGAAACCAAGGTCCTGAAGAATAACTGACATATGATGGTGCGGGC